GGCGGGGCTCTGGCAGCTGCGGACGGCGCTGGCGAGCACCGGGGCCCAGCGCCCGGAGCCCAGCTGCGGTGTCCCCAAAAGTTGAAAGTCGGTTGTTCCTAACATCGAGAGCTAATCACAGTTGATTTACTGGATCTTTTTAGGGTATATCCAAACCCTAAGACATACCTCCTGCCTTCTCAGAGGACATGTGTGTTCCTCCAGGGCAAAATGGCAACATTAGCAATGCAAACTGTTGTTACGTTCTAAGAATAACATCCCCAAAAGTAATTTTAAATTGTGATAAAATCCTACAACGTGGTGATCATGAGCCCAATAGGAAGTCTGCATAACTTTGAACTCACAAAATAATCGGCAGTACCTCCTAGGTATTATAAGCATTTGTAAGAGCTACTTGTGCAAGCAAGGGCTTATAAAATCATAACTATTTTCCTCTTCCTGTTTAATCTTAAGAATTAACTTCCCTACAAATTTTAAAGCAATCAAAATCGTCATTAGTAGTAAACTAAAATATGTAATGTAAAAAAAAAATAGGTTGAATAAGCATGAGAAAAAGCAACTTTGAAGCTATAAAAAGAAGTTCAAATCACTCTACCCTCAACAAAATAATCCCCATGAGAGCTACAGATTAATTTTTTTCTTGACTATAATGAGCTGTTTTTACATCTTTTTCCTGGCAAGAGCTTCTAATTTATCAACTGATGTGGTAAAAGCATATTTAGTGAGGATTCAACAGGCAACGTAATGTTATTTATGCAGTACCTAAAGTAAGGGACCATTTTGGAGAACAATTAGAACTGCATCCTAGAAAATAACAAGGTAAATTTTCTCTGTGTATAGAACACCAATTTGAGCAACAAAACCAGTAAGGATGGAGAAAATAAGGAAAGAAGAACAGTAACAACCATAACATGATTTCAGAGTTACTTAAAATAACTTCTGTGCATCCTCAGGTCATTTTCTTTATCCTTTGTTACTTTGAAAGATACCTACACTAAAAGGAACGGTAGAAACTAAGACATAAAGCCCTAGGCTTTATACTTTTGTTGAAAATTACATGCTTCTATTTGGAACACAGTAGCAGTCTAGTTGGTAACCCCTGAGGCTGTGTGAGACAACAGACTCTTCACTGAAAAAATAATTAAGACCATCTCCAAAAAGATTATTTTTTCCTGAGAAAATGAAGCATGTGCTTCTGTTTCTAGCTTTCAAACCACAGGCAACAGAGAGAAACAATCATTTAAAAATGACATACACAGCATGTTTCAGAAAGAAAAAGTCTGCTGAAACTTCTTAGATAATTTTAACAGCTCTGTTTTACAATACAGATCACATTGCCTGGGTGATAAGGTAAGTTTCATATTGGAAGAATTTTCACACTGAGGGAATACCTTTTTTCCTGTGAGGTTCTATACGAAAGTATCTTGCTGTCCTTATGCTGTACATTTACAATTTGCATGGTCTCTGGAACTGATGACCACAGCTAGACAAGCTCTCTGTTCAGGCAATAAAGGCCCCCTATGTAAACTACCTTGCTGGTAGCATATTTAACTCCAAATTCATATATGGACTGTCCTACAGGATCTTGGGAAAGCTTCCTTGGAGCTACAGACTGTCATTAAAAAAAAGGCACAACAGAAAACAGTTGTGGTATTACTTAAATATTTGTAAGTAATGCTTTTGTTCCTCTTACTGTTTATGGTTATCGTTCAAGACTTACCTGTAGAATGGATGCACCTGAAAGCTATATCCAGGAGTAGATTTTGATATGTAGGATTTATTTTTCTCTCAAAATACGTGGCTGAAATTCTGGGAAACCACCAAAGGACATAGGTTCCCCTTGTTGAACTTCATGACATTCCTCTTGGCCTGTTTCTCCAGCCTGTCCAGGTCCCTCTATATGCCAGCATAACCATACAGTGTTTCAGTCGCTCCTCCCAGTTTTGTATCAACTGCAAATTTTTTCAGGCTGCATGCTGTCTCATCGTACGGGTTCTTAATTAAAATGCTAAACAGTACTGGCCCCAGAATGAAACTCTAGGAAGCTTTGTAGTGTTGTGCCTCCAACTGGATTGTATGTGGCTGACCACAGCCCCTGGGACTGGTGGCTCAGCCAGTTTTCGACCCACCTCACTGTGCACTTAACTAACACAAATTTTGTCAGCTTGTCTGTGGGATGTTATCAGAGACAATGTCAAAAGCCTTACTAAAGTTGAGACAAACAGCATCGACTGCTTTCCCTTCACCCACCAAGCTAGTAGTCCCATTGTAGAAGGTTATCAGGTTAACAAAGCATAATTTCCCCTTTGTAAATCAATGCTGACTCCTCCTAATCACCTTCTTGTCTTTAACATGTGGAAGCTGTCTCCATTTTCTCCATCAGCTTCCCAGGTTACAACAGAAGTTACAACAAAATACAAAAAATATAGTTTGATTCGGTATTTCTAAGCATGTATTATAGAGTATTGGTTATACTTCTGAAAAAGAGGTGTACCACATTAGACCGAAGGGCTAGCTAACAATAACTGGTTTCTGAAAGTTTCAATAGTGAATGCCCTTGGCAAAAGTATAAAAATTGGACAAATGCATAGTAAGGCTTCTCCAGAATACTCTTCCAGTGTTCAACACTTCTCAATTCAGGGACATCCTGTGCCAGAGAAGGTTTCTAGTAATTCCTCATAGATTTTTCTTCCATTAATTTGTCTGATCAGTTTTTAAGTCCACGTAAACTAGAAACATCTACCTCTGTAGTAAGGAATTTCTCAGTATAACTGCATACTGTGTAAAGAACCACTTTCTATAACCAAAAGAAATGAACTTATTTGTACCCTGTTAAAAGTGAGCTATGTCTATCTTGGTTGCAAAATGAACCAGAAACTTGTAATCTGTAAAAGTTGTGCAGGCTGTGGAGCTACAGCCTGCAGCTGGCAGCATCTATGATTCAGATAATGCCAGAAAACAGTTTGTCAGCTGACGGTGCATTATGGAATGCAGAAGGGATTCATGAGAATCCAGAGAGGAAGCAGGGCAAAAACCTGATAGCTGACCTGATGCAGTTGTGTTAGTTGTCACATTAGCACTCTCTCAGTTGGAAACTCAAGGTGTTGCTTTCCTTGGATCCTATTTACTATTGAAATTCTATTGCAATGCTATTTTCTTTCTGGCTGCCTCTGGCACATACTCAGGACACTAAACTTCTTTCTACTCTTACTCTTCCTCAAAATGAGACTTCCCCATTCAAATTTCAGTACAATTCTGTCAAATTCAAAAGTCAACTATAAAAAAAAAGAGAGGGGGAGAGCTGTCTATATTTCAGTAGATTTATCAAAATTCGGAATGCTTGTGTCTGTTCCAACCAGCACTGAGAAGTGGTTCTACTCATGGTAAATACGAAAAACTCACAACAAAACTCCCAAAGGTGATTTATTTTTAATTCTCATTAAAACACACACTTTTCTTACAAATTAAGAAGTGCAGCAAACCCATTGAACAGATTATAAATTACTGACCAGAAATGCAAAACACAAGAGTGGAGCCTAAGCTGTATTCGTCTTCCTCAGTAACATATTCTATGTCCCTTTACAGGGGCTCCTTTCCAGGAAATTCCACTTTGGAAGACTTTTACTAATCAAAAACCAATAAACACTCTATACTGCTAAACATATATAAAATATATATATAATTGTACCCATTTTAGAAGTATTGTTCATAAAGGCAATTCTCTTGTCTTCTTCAACTAAATTTTTATTTCCTTTTAAAACTTACTCTATTTTTTACTTTATAGACTGGGGAATCCAGAAACTGTGTATCTGTAAACCGATCCCCACGCCTTAATTTGCTGTAAACAAAAGAAATAAAAGACATCACGTATGAATATCACCAAGCACCTGTGTAACTATAATGATGTAGTTATAATAGCAATTCCAAATGGTAAATACTCATTAAATTTATGGAAAATAAGTATGTCTGAAATAACAAGGCATCAATAACTACTGTTTTCCAAAATAATGCTAGAACAGTAGTCTTTTTATGTGGCCTGTATCATACTAATATGTGAGTAATCATAACTTCTTCCTGTAAGACAAAACTCAAGAATTATTTAAACCAAAAGCTTAACAACATCCATTCAGGACAGTATACTTAAAAATAAAAAATAACTAGGAGGCAGTAATATAAAATTCCCAGTGACAGCCACTTTTTTTCTGTTATTAGTTACTGTCTCTCTCCAGAAATACCGAACCTTATTATTGTGGGGTAAAAGAGAATGTGTCAATAACATAATATTTCAGCATTTTAGCATCCAGTTCAATTAGTAAAAGAAAAATGTATCTCTAATCCCTTTGCACTTCTTTTACAAGCTATATGGTGTAAGTATTTCTGAAAAGCCAGTGTAAAATGAAAAGATGCTTCCTCCATCACTTTCAAGTCCTATGTGCCCTCATTCTCATTGCTTTAATTAATTGTTTGCTTACTTTCAGAGGTAAACAAAAATAATTTAAGCACATTGTGCTAATTTTTTTCAGTCTGTGAATTTATTTCCTTCTCCTCCCACAGTTCTGCCAGAAAAGGAAGACATACTCCTTTTACACCTTTGTCGAAGTAAGTTGCTATAATCCTTTCGCTCTCAACACTATTATGGGGAAACGTTGATACTGCCTTTACTTCATGAATATGCATTCTACTAACACACACACACCACAGCTCCTTAAATTAATACTAAACTTTAAAAAATCAAAACCCAAACCAAATAAAAAAACCCTAACCAACTTTCTGGCAAAAAACTTAGAAATTTTCAGAAGTAATCAGCTTAAAGATCCATTGGTATTTAGATCTATTAATGTAAGTGCAAATATACTAGTTATCTTAATGGAATTTAAAATCCTCTTTTAAATTTTAACAATCATCAATTTGTAACTTCTAACAATCTTGGAAATCCTGTGCCACTAAATTTACTAAGAACACTGATAAGTAAATAACTAATTATCAAATTAATATATATTATACTTAAGTGATTTCACAGAATCACAGAATATTAGGAGTTGGAAGGCACCTCCAAAGATCATCCAGTCCAACCCCCCTGCCAGAGCTGGATCACCTAGACTGGGTCACACACAGGAATGCATCCAGATGGGTCTTGAATGTCTCCAGAGAAGGAGACTCCACAACCTCTCTGGGCAGCCTGTTCCAGATTTCTTATATTAGCTATGACTATTAAAGGAAAATGACTGAATTTATATAATATTAGTGCATAAATATCTCGTCACTTGACAATATTATGGTATAAGTTTATATTTAAGTATAGCATTTACAAGTATCCACCTCTACAGAGGTTTATATAATGATAAACATTAAAAATGTCACCATTATTCACTACTATGCCACAAAACAAACAAAAGCCCTTATTTATGTATACCTACCTGTTTAGACTGGGTTCTTTGTAGCAAATAGTTGCTCTTGCTCGTCTAGATGGTGTTGCTGAGTTTTCTTCAAATGTTTTGGGGGATTTAGACAAGGAAGTATGATGTTGTATACTGGTATTTGTCAGATCTTGCAAAGCCTTTCTCCCTATGAATACAGTAGTTTATATGCCTCATGTTAAATATTTTCTGAATCATTAAGTAAACTTTCAATTCATAATTATTTTTAATTAGTAATTCTTAATTTGTGTACTGTGGTTACTGCTCCTAATCTAAAGATGCTCAACATAAAAATGGGATAGATGATTGAAGAAAATGCCACTAGAGCAGCTTTCCACCTACCCAAATATGGAGCTGTTTGAGGTCTGCCATGGCTCTTGGGACATTTTAAGAAAGCCCCATTAAGTACAGTAATTTGCAGCCAGATGCCTAAGACTCCCAAGAGTTACTGCATTTTAAAAAGTACAGCTGCACACAGCTCACGGCCTTGAATGCAGGATCATACATGTATAATCTTAAAGTATAATCTACCTTCCAAAGGAGGAATAAAAGATGAGAAGATGCAACTGCAAATCTGAAGATTCAACCTGTACAAGAGATCTCCAGTACTGCATTTTCCAATTTTATACCTGCTCTTTGGGCCTATGTGCATAAAATGAGCATAGTAAGATAATTAATTGAGCCTCATTATCTTCAAAACTGTGCACTACCAAACTACTTAATGTCTTGTATTCTGAACCACTGAACATGTCCAAGAGGAATACTCCGTAAAAGAAGTAACCAGCCTTGGTAGAAGTACCATTTGTGTCACCTTAATTTGGAGACAAATATTTTGATAACTTGGGAGAAATACTGAAATTATTATTTAGCTGACATTTCAAAAAATTCTAAACCATTTATATTGGGTTGGCCAAAAAGTAATGGCATATTTTTTAATAGATGGACATAAATGCCTTGAAATGTAACTGACTTAATTTTAAACTGCAAATTCATTATGTAACTTGACAGCTGACAGTTCAAGCTTGTTTTAGAAAAAGAAAGTGCATAATTTTGTTTACAATTATTTATTTGGCATTGATTTAAAAATGGAAAATCAAAAGGAACTTTTAAATCATATTTCATTATCTCTGTGGGTAAGACTGATCATTTCATCAACAGTCTTTTGAATTGTGTTAAGCAGTCATTAAGTATAATGTTCTTCATTGGATTTCTGCTAACTTTACTTCCAAGTAGAGAGACATATTAAGGTGACTTAGGGCTGCCTGCAGCAAGTCCCTCCTCATTTATGAAGGCAAAAGGAAAAGCAATGTCTTTTGAAGGTGCTCAGTTTAAATGAGAGAGTTTTCAGATCACGAAAAACCTCCCAGGTTTGGCTGCCTCACAAATCAATCTTGATTTGTACTGGTTTTAAAGTAAACTCTTATTCTGAGCTTTTCCTAAAGCTTAAGGTTAGAGATCAGGTAAGCTTCTTTTTAAGCAGTAAGAGTTTTGAGACATCTACAAGCCTGTATTATTCTGGAAAGCTAGATGCCTTGGAGTATGACTATTTATGTTCACATTGATCTCACTATACAGAGACCTTCATTACAAGAGACTTTCAAGGTACATTTCCAAGTGCAGTCCAAGGTAGTGATCAGAAGAGCTGGCATCAGGAGATAGGATGCCATTTCCTTACTTTCCTTTCATTCACAATAGGGATTTGGATGTAGGATAAAAGATGAACTGTTTTTTGATCCATTTAAATGGATGAAGATCAAATTATTAGCTTGCTTTTTCTGTCAGTAGTCTTTGATATGGCTGATCACAATGATTTACCAATTTATCACTAAAGCTAATAAAATGATGGGATCCTTTTTCTACCTTCCAAAGAAGGAAACAAAGATCAGAAGATGCAACTGCAAATTACCAGGACTAATACCTTGCACGATAGTCAAATCCTGTCAGTATTCCTATTCTGGTCATGTAAAAACAGGAGATTTTTTTTTGGGCCATTGTATCCTAGCACTCAGATGAAGCCAAGGCAGTATTTACTTGCTAGACTGGGATTCAAACTATTAATTTGAGCTATGAAACCGTCTAGGTGTTGGGAGATTCTCAGAGACAATGAGGTAAACAGGAACTTGATAAGAATAAAAGTGCTTACAAAATAGACTCCTCATGCTATGAAATTTCAAAGCTACATCATAAAGCATATTTAAACTCTAGCATAGACGTGTTAGTCATATATTTCTTGAGCTCCTTTACAGTACGATAGAAGAATCTAAACCTATCTTCCAGACTACACTAAAGTTTGATTATTTTCTTAATTTAATGTATCTTAAAAAAGAGGTTGTCACATGAAAGATTACTCATGGGTAGATTCTAGAGAAAACCTGCTCAAAGTACTTTTTTTTTTTTAGATCTCAGAATTCCTGTTGAATTCCAGTGTTTCTACAGAAATACAAATGAAATCTTTAAGTCCAGCTATGTTCCCTATTTATGAATGGAACAGTGTAGTTCACCCTTATTTCCCTTGTTGTATAAAAGTTCAAGCTTTTCGATCTCAGACTTTCTGAATTCCATCATATTCTTTGGAAAATGAATACATGCTACAAAAATTGCTCCTCAAGAATGCAGACTTTATTTGGGCAGACTTACATCTGCCCAAATAAATGTCATTTTGGAATATACTGAAAGGTAACAAGGATAATAGCTACCACAATTTACGAAGATACTGTGACAGATATACAATATAGAATATGAATAATCTTAGTGATTTTCAGGCTTACCTTTTTCCATTCCTGTTTTATCCACTCTAAGCAAACAATAAGAGTAGAAGAGTATAAAGAGAAGACACCTTACCACTATTTCAGGCACTACCTAATTCAAGATTCCTTTTTTTCTTCTCACCCATACACTTACCATGACAAGTTGTCAGAATCTTTTTGTAAGTCTCTTTAGAAATATGATCCAGGTTTTGTTCTGCTTTTCCAACATGCAATGCTTTTTTATGATCATTTTCCCCACAGATTTGAGAGGTTTTTAGTATAGAGAAGCTCATGGAAGCGTTGTGGTTACTAAGGGCTGGGAGCTCCACATTGGAAAGGTCTTCCTGGGAAAAGCTAGCTACATTTAATGGCATATTCTCAGAACATTCAACAGGCAAGAAATTTAAAAATTCTGATTTTTGAACTGCAGGCTTTAACTTGCTCATTAAGGAATCTGCCTCATTGGGGCCTTCCTGGTCATCCAAAATATTCTGCTCCCTCTGATCAATTTGCCTGAAATAATTTTTTTCTGGTCTGGTCTCAGTAGCATCAGAACTAGACCTCTGTTTGCCCTTTACCTGATTATCAGGAGAACTACTAATGTGAGGGGCTTTATCTGCCACTGATGAGGAATCGTTCTTTAATGTATTAGCATCATCATCAACTTGTTCTTTAGTTTGTGATGTATTCATAGCTACACCATCCTGAGTAACTAAAGATGCTTGCATTTGCTGAGTTTCGATTACTTTATTTCCACGAACAGCCCCTGGATGCAATGCATCCTTATTTTTTAACTCTTCATTTTTACAAAGTGAGAACGGTTTAAGATTCTCTTTTGGTATTATGTATGTTTTCCGGCTAGCCTTTGCCAATGTACGTTTTAATCTGCTACGCTTCTGGTCTTCTTTCTGAGTAATTTTATGAATGCTGTCACTTTCAGTTTCTCTGCTTTGTTGGTAACTACTTTTTTGGTTATTTTTTCTCTTTATAATATTCTTCTGGTCTTGTTTTCTCTTGTTGTCACATGGGCATATCTCTGCTTGAGACTTTTCTGAAATATATTCACAATACTGCACATTTTCGTTTCTGCAGTATTTTGCTGTGTTCATTTTAGAAGGGTTTTCAAAAGTGTTCCTGTTTATTTTTGGTCTTCTGTGTTTCTCATTTGTATGCAGAGTGTCCCACTGTGAAGACAATACATTAGAACTGTTATCCTGGAATGGTAAATTTTCAGCACAATAAACTACTGGTGGAATCTTGTTAATAGGCGAGTTTGAGGCTGCTTTTTGTAGTTTGCTTTCTGTGTCTTCAAACATTTCTGAGGAAGTGTCATTATTTTTCTCCTGTTTTCTTGGACTCATTAAGTTGACCTGGTATGTCCCCCTAGTATCTTTAGCTTTACTTGGACAATTCTGTGCTTGATAGTAGTTGCTGGTATTTAACAAGCTCTGTTTCC